AGATTCTGAAATAGGGGAATTATTAAAAAGTAGATTGTAATAACGCTTTTCTTCCAGTTTTTGTGATAATTTACCCTGTGTAAAGTTCACACCATTCTAGAACTGGTTGATTATAACTTGATTGCAAAGGGTCTGGAGTCAAAAGTGGGTCTAAACATTTTAAATATGTTCACAATTAAGATCCGACAGGATTAAGGTTTTATGGGTATTTAAGTGAGGGGAACTCTCCCAGCAACATAGACAGAAATAAAAGGCTTTCCTTCAGTAGTGTAGGGGAAGACTAGAACTTCTGTCAAATTATTATTTCTGTCTGTGTCCTTGTTGCAGATTTTCCCACACTTTTCTGGTGAAACTATTGTCAGCAGGACAGGAAGTGACTGGAAATCTCTCTAACACTACACATAGCACCCAAAAAAAACATGTAGTCCAATCCTTCTCCACTCTATACAAAACCAGAAATTTTTGGCTTGAGAAATACTTTTAATAACACCTGTACTTTTGTACATTCAAATTTTCATTTATGCATTTGAAAATTGATGTGAAAAGATGTATTTATTTTTCTCTAAACCTATAAACACCTAATTGTGTCCACCTAATTAAAACTCTTTTTAACACACATTCACAATTTTATTTACAAACATTTTTTTCAGTTCTAATCAGCATATGCATAATTTTTTATTGCACATACTTTACAATATGCTCATTCAGAAGTTTGACAATATTTTATTATTTTTATCTAGAGTAGATATACTCAACACAATACTTATACCTTTATAGTTATGCAATACTTATATATTTATACTCAATACAAGTTACATTTATTTTTAGAACAATTTAGACTGTTGATACCCATCAAACTGACACCCATGTACACGTGTCACATAGTAGTACTACACAGCTTCCTTTCTACATTTGTAATGTTCAAAAATGGTCACATCTTTGCTAGTACAGTAAATATTAGAAAACAGCAAAGCTTTTTTTTCCCCCAATAAGCCTTTATCCCAGAGAGTGTAAAAAGTAGCCATTATCCTGTTGATCTAATGGAGTGCTCTCTGCTGTTTTCTGCTGGTTGGTATATCAGTTTAAATGATATCCTGCTCAGGACCAGTCACTGAGTGGTAGTATCTTGTACAGAACATAGAAACACAGAATTTTTTACAGAGTTCAGGAGTTGAAGTAAAAGCTCACTCCTGCTGGGTGCCAGCCCCAGGTACCAGGCCTAATGCTACAGTGCAGTTTGGCAAGATTAACCGTATTATTACTTTCTGTCAATGGGATTATCACTTAAACAGTAATAACACCAAAATGACATGTTTTAGAAGCCTATTATTTTAACATTTCCCTATATAACACCGCATTATGGCTCAGACATTTCTGTTTGATTGTTCACATTTCCTGTGCATGGTTTCACAGGAAATGTTAGAATCATGTTGCCTGGTGATAACTGCATTTGGTTTATAAAAATAACAGTTGTTAAAATTATATTTTTTTTAGAGAAAGCTGCAACACAAATATGTAGCAATTATACAAAACACAACATAAAGGTTTTGTTATTTATTTTCTCAGGGCTGCTGGATACATACGGTTAAGATGTATTTAGATGAGGACTGCGCACAATGAAATATAGGAATTTAAGTTGTGTTTTTGTCTGGTTTCCAAAGATTGTCTATAATTCATATATAATTGTACAATGTAATGTTTGGAAAAAGTGCTGTTTAGATTATTCTATATATAAATACAAGGTGCAGTTGCTAAAAGAATGAACAAAGACATCAGCAGAACGTAGAAACATTCTGCAAACTTCTTTCATGTGCTGTAAACTGCCATTTTCTACTCAGGGCATAATGTGGCAATTTTACAGTAAATAATACCAAACTGAGGACTTCACAGGGCAAATATCATAAAAAGCTAGTACAGACACACTACTACCCATCATCTTAGTGTTCATTTATTTGTGCTAGTGGATGTGCATTTCATTGCCAGTTGAAAAAAATAGGAACATCAAGGATCACTGAAATTGTTGCATAGAATTGTGACTAAAATTGCAATAGGTGCAAAGGGGCTACCCTTTTACATTGTATGTACTGGTACAGAATGCCCCATCAGACACCAACTACCTGCAAGGACATCCTCCCCTGTCAGGTGGTTTCCTAGCTGTTCTGCCCCTCTAGTTTACTGCAGGAGCACTGAGGTTGTGACTAGCTGCCAAATAATTAGAAAGGCTTGGAAGAAACAGCTTATACCGCTCGCTGTATGGTTGTACTCCACACACTAGTACCCCATGGAAATCCCAAAAGAAATTCTTGCTGTGTGGTCTCCATGGATACAGTATGCCTTCACTCCCTTCTGTGAGTTTAACCCCATTAAAACCCAATAAGTTGGAAGAGATCACATGGTGAGCTCTTGTGTCTTGTCTGCTTCTCCCCTACCCCTCTCCCCTCCTCCTTTTTCCCTTATTACCTCTTAGTTTACTTTCTATTCCCCCCTGCTCTTATTTTCTTTGTTTTCTCTCTAGATTGTTACAGAGACTCTGTCAGGGATTACATTTTTTCCCCGCTTCCTATAGTTTTTGCCTTAGTCAGCACTCGAACTGAATAGCCTTCTTAATCATAGAATAGACTGGTTCTTGTATAGTTTAGAATAGGGGAGTTTTTCCAGCAGTGTCTTTTTATAGCCAATGTTTGTCGGCTAGACATGTAAGCTGCGGAAAAGTTTGGTTTGTTTCGGATATTTCGGAAATCGGGATTCGGATCTGAAATTCAATTCGGTTCGGGTTTCGGATTCGGACAAAATCCAAATTTCCTTCGGATGAGTTTACCAATATTTGTTGCGACTAAAGCAGAAAACCATATACAGATATTAATACTAAAACTGAATCTCCTAGACCAGAATGGCATTCGGGATCCGAATTTTCAAATTGCATTCGGCTCCCAAATGCCAAAAGTCTCATGCCGCAACAAAAATTAATGCTCAGTATATACCTATAATAGTAAAGCTGAGGCTCCCAGACCCAAATGGCATTGCATGCAATCCAAATTGCATTCGGAAATTTGGATCCTGAATGCTATTCGGGTCTAGGAGCTTCAGCTTTAGTATTATATGCAGGGCTCAAAATTTCCACTCGCCCCCTCGCAAATTGCGAGTGAAAATTGCGTGGGGGCGAGTGGAAATGAAGCCATTGAGTCAGGCACTCCTCGGGTCGGCTTCTCTCCTCCTCACCGACATGATGACAGCGCTCCCTCGTTCGTCTGTCCGGGGTCCCAGGAGGGAGCGCTGCCTGCTGTCAGGATGGCCGAGCGGGAGAGAAGCCGCGAG